AAACTGGTCAAAATATCGCACTCCTATTATTTTGTAGACAACTGTATGTACATACCAGGGATGTTGCGAATATTTGCATTCTCATTCGTTATGCGAATGATTCGCTTCATGTTTTGCGAATGCGAATTTGTACATGGAGAGAGTCCACTCTAATATTTAGTATGTTCCTTTGAACTTCGGACTAAAACCTGTGGAACTGTCAAACTACAATTTTACTCTCTCAAGTGAGAGTAAGAGGAGAACAGATGCAGAAGTGCACGGGAACGCAACAAGCACTATTTCCTGTGAAAACGTCAGTCGGTTTGTTTACATGTCATTGGTACAACACTGATTTGGCTGAAATATCACTAAATAATTATTAAAATCTATATATATTCAAATATTTCGTTGTTTACTTCCATTTTTTAACAAATATAAGGTTCTTTGCTTTCACCGCTTTCTGTTTTTGTTTGCACATGTAAATCAGCTGATCGTTTGACACTTTTCATGAACTTACAGGAAAAACACTCTGGACTAAGGGCCGGTTAATCAATGCCTGGTTAACTCTAATCTGCGATTAAACGTCGTTATCGACGTCTTCGCCTCCAAGCATACAACAGGGAGTCGGTAACGTCGATAACGATGTTTAACCGTAGATTAGTGTCAACCAGACATTGAGTAACCGGCCTTAAATCCTGTAACTTCTGAAACAGAAACCGTTACTTGTGATTTGCCGATTTTGACAATTCTCAAGTTAATGTAAAGAACGCCTCAGAAATTTTAGATGCACTGAAATTTGCTAATACTTTCACAAAAAGCGCCGTTTTTTTTTAATTTTCGCTATTGATTTTTTTTATAAATCATATATTTTAAAATTGAACGAAATGCAACCACGATTCCTGTCGAAAAATTTATTACTGAGAAAATTTACTACTTACAGTTTATTTTATTCTCCCTACTTGAGAAATTTCATCTCCGCCGGGTATTCGAAATCTTGTATTATATCATTCTTGTTACCACATAGTGTTTAGTGTTGGACAATTTTTGCTCTTAAAATTAAGAAAATTATGTCGAGCAAAAATAAAACTAGGCATTCAAAAACGCGAATATGTGACAGATTTCAGACCTTGTGTTGTAGATGCTCAAAAAAGTGGCAGATCTACCACAATGTGGTAGAAGTCCAATCACTGGTGACAATGAAAACAGTTCCCTACTTGTGGAAATCGTAGAGCTTTTTATTTTATAAATATTGACACAGAATGCGATGGGAGCTTTTACTTCATAAAAATCTTGATAAAGTGAAGGCTCGGATGTAGAACCTGGAAACATTAAAAAATGTGAAATTAAAGCTCAATTGAAGGCCTATCTTAAAGAAATATGAGCTCATCTCGGTGGAAAACTATACTAAAATACGATAAATAGACAGATCTGGAACGCAAATATTTGAGCGCTCTACCCGCCAGCGTTCCAAGTGAGCGTTCAGTGCAGCCGGCCTTATATACGAGGCTCTAAGAAATCGCCTCATGGGAGAAAAAAGCTTATGTAATGTACATAAATGTGATAACGACACGATTCAAATTTCAAAATATAAAAACTGTTATTACTGTTAAGTGTCTCTTTTCTCTAATCCTTGCCTAATCTATTTCCGTCCTCTATTAAAGTAGGCAGTAAGGATTGCTAAAATAAATACAAAAGATTAGACATGGATTCGAGAAGGATTAGAGACATGAGCCACTCAAGAGTGGTAACAGTTTTTATTTTTTGAATTTTGAATTGTGTCGTTATTTCACAGGACCATCGATATGTGCATTTGTTTTTACACATATATTGGCATGATTATTAATACATTTGTTTGTAATTTTTTATAAAATCGGCATCGGCCGATTCTTTCCCCATAAGCCACAAGGCATCGGTACCTGAAAAATTGGAATAGGTCGGGCTCTAAACAAAAGTCTCTGGATCGTTCTGGGTAAGAACAGAACGGGAACAAAAGTCGAAGGAACATTCTCTCGAAGAGCGATTTGGGAATTAAAGTCTTACGAACTTTGGTACTTTCTGACAGAGAACGAAACGGGAACAAAAGTTTTAAGAACTTAACGTTAAGAACGTTCCCATTTTGTTCTTTACGGAAACGTTCCCGAATCTTTTGTTCTTATTTTTTCTCCGTTCAAACTGCTCTCAATACTTTTGTTCCCGGAACGCGTTTTTGGCCCCTGCTTGGATTAAGAAACGGTTAAAAATAAAATAGGTCCCAGAAGATAATTTAGTTAGGCCTTCTTAAATGAAGCCATTCTAAAGGTCTGAAAAAGTACTTCCTTGCATGCCTTATAGAAGGGCTAATCCATTTACAATTTACGCGAATGCATAAATTTATATTATTTAGCATTAGAAATGAATTTTAATAAACATTTTAAGTCGCAATAACACAAATTTGATATAAACCTTAAGCAAATACTCCAAAGATTAATGCATTTTATAAATTAAAGAACTAACTTTAAAAGAACTCCTCTAAAAGGCCTTCTGAAGTACGTCCTATAAAAGCCCTTCTGGAAGGCTATGGATAGAGAAAGAGGAAGGCCTTCAATTTGTGCTACTCCATACAAAAAAGAAAGGAGAAAGGAATGTAGAGTGGAAGGCCTCTTGATTCTCAGGAAGGCCTTTCGGAAGGACTTTTAACTCCTGAAATTATCTACTGGGGTAGTTCGATGTTTTAGGAAACAGAAAAATTTTGAAATGTTTTTGCTTTTTGTATCAAAGTATCGCTTATTATAAGAACTGGGCTTATAGACTCTAAGCCAGCGATGTAACTTTAATGACTACTATGCTTGATTGAATTCACAAAGGCCCTAACTAGCAAATTTCTATTATGGATAGGGTTTTTTAAAGTGTCATTGACTACACTGAATTTCAACTACCACTTTCAAATTTTTTGTGAAGGTTTATTTTAATATATCCTATCAGAACCTGTGTAAAACGCAGTTTCGAAAAAACTTTTGGTAAGGGCCTTTGTGAATGAAGATAACGATATATACATTAAGCAAGCAATATATGTACTTATTTCTTTATCATACTCTTACCATACACTTCAGATGTACTAGCTATAAGTACTTTTGCCATAACTCGTTTGGCCAGTCCTAACATATTGATAGTACCCATAGTATTCGTTTTGATTGTCTTTACTGGATTATACATGTAATGTGGCGGGGAAGCAGGTGATGCAAGGTGGTAGATTTCATCTACTTCAATGAATAGTGGGTTCACTATGTCGTGATGAATCAATTCAAAATTTTCATGCCCCAACCAATGTTCCACATTCCGTTTGCGACCTGTAAAAAAGTTGTCCACGACGATGACTTCGTGGCCCTGAACCATTAGAGTGTCCACCAGATGTGAACCGACAAAGCCGGCTCCGCCTGAGATTAGTATTCGCTTTCGGTTTATATAATTTAAGTATTTAACTTGTGGATATTTACGAGGAGTACTTGACTCCAACGCGCGAATTCGGTCTTCCAAAATGGCAAGTTGGGCTTTTGTACGCTCCAACTGGAGGAAAAGCTGTTGGTGATGATTCGTTGGTACACTAACAGTTTCTTTATCAATATCTCCATTTAACATTGGGCGCACAAATGGCCAATCGTCTTTTACAAATTTTGACACCGGGCGGCTCCCATTAGTATGAATTAATAGCGACCGATAAAGAATGACAAGTAATAAAACAGAGATCGAAATTATTGCGATAATTTTAATCTTCTTTTTAGCAGGAGGCACAAGCGGCATTATCGGTGTTGTCAGATTGTTTAATAATTGGAGATTAGGAAGCTATAATTTTTCATCCGTTACCATCAGTGAAGAAATAAGCTAATGCAGGCGCCTTTAGGGACAAAGAATTTTTCGTTTAAGTATATATTGGATATTGGCATTATACGTACCTAGTCACTAGTAGGGTAAATCGTGTTTAAACGATGACTTGCTAGAATAATTAAAAATCTTTATTGTTATAAACAGCTTGTTTGTTTTCTAATAAAAATGTTCTTACGCATTTGTTTATTATTTTATGAACGCTTGCTTCAAAAATGTTTTATATGTAGATGATTTACCATTGCCCATTTAAATAGAAGGCAGTTATAGTTTTCCGCGATATATATTTATATGAATCCACATAATTTAGTAGAATTGCGTTATCTTCCTGTCGTATTGTTACTTTTTAACAGTTGTTTTTGACGTTATTGTAAACAAATGATAACAGAAGTCCGAGTTGCCAAAGTTTTTCATTGAGCTTATGACGTATGGGTAGTTTTTTAACATGATAGCCATTGAAAATATGCCGTTCACAATTCTCAGTTCTTCTCCATTCAGTGTTGCAACAACCCCCTTGTTTTCCCACCAAAGTCAACCCAAGCCTACCAAAAATTTTTTCGAGTCTTTAATATTTTCTTTCAATGTAAAATTTATTAAAAATGTAGATAGCTTAACATTTAGTAAACTTAAAACACAAATTAAATGCGTATAATAATTTATTTTACTGTACAGACGTACGCAACCTATGAAGATATCACACACCGTCTTCAAAAGAGTCACAACTCAAAATAACACCTTTGCCAGAAAATGCGAAAAACTATTTCTTAGCACATGATAATCTTATGGGCAAGGACGACTTTACCTTAGTTTTTTTTTTTTAAATTGTAACAAAAACTGCTCCAGCTTTTGCTGAAACGTAAATAAAAGCTCCGTATGCATTTTTAGCGCATAATCTCAAAAATGCCAAATTTTGAGTTGTGACTCTTTTGAAGACGGTGTGCGATATATTGTAGTAAACCCTAAGGCCGTGGTTACGCCACCAATTTCGATTGGCAATCACCGTGCAATTGTTGTTGTGCACAGCACGGAGTGAGAGAATTTACGAAATCGAACAGCCAGCACGATTTGCTGGGTGACCCGAACAGCCAGCACGCCAATTTTTCAGGGTGGCAATACGCTATTTTGCGAAAAAGTATTAGTATTAAATATTAGAGTAGTAAAAAATATTTGTTTATTATTATTATAAATAAAGTAGATATAAAAAAAATATCATAAGAATTAAATATTAAAGAAAGAAAAAATACTAAGTTGTTCTACCATTTTTCATTTTCCGACTTCAATTTTGATGCATTTTTACTTCAGTGCTGCCATTGTGTGGGAAATTGTATGAAATGGAAAGCGTATTTCTTAAGAAGCAACCCTGTGCTCGCCAATCAGCAAACAGAGCGTAACCACTTCTCACCAATCACCGAAATTTTTGTCTTTTGATTGCCAATTAAAATTGGTGGCATAACAACGGGCTAATTGTAATCACTGCAACCTTAGGCTTTCTGCACATTGTTCGTCGAATCATAATTGCTTCATCGTGACAATCATGATTCAACGATTACATGACGATTACACTTTCGCACACTCGGTCGTGATATTTCAATTCATTTGGCGGCTAAAAATTCACTTCAAGCAGTTATTTTCTGTTTTTTTCGTAAATATTTCACGAAATTTTTACAAAAACCTGCAATTTTAAAATAATGAACAGTGCTGCAACAATTCTGGACATAATTTTTCATTAATCTCTCTTATTTTTTATCTGAAATGTGTTTTGTGCACGCACGCAGAAACTATTTGTTGTATTTGATAGTTAAAGCTCTCTCATTGATGTTATGCAAGAAATACTAACTTTTTCTATAATTTCAATATAAATATTAACCTTTTTACTAATTTTTTCTCATATAATGTAAACAAACCATGCTTGCATAACGATTAGCAAACGACAGTGTCGTACTTATCCGTTTCTGCATCTTCTACGACAAGTACCAGACCTCCATTAAAATGCATGTGCTCGGCTCAAAATTTCAGGGCGAGACGATAATGCAACCATGATTAGACGATAAGTGTGCAGATAGCCTTAGGCTATTCAAAAATCTAAGCACTTTGGACGGTACCATATGTTGGGAACTCCTGCCTTTGACATAATTTCAATTTCATGCATTTCAATTTCATGTACTTCATTTTTGTATGTTATTTTTAATGTATTCCATTTCGATGTTCTCATTTATTTTCAAATACCTTTCATACAATTACCCAAATATACTCGGGCTCGTATCGCTAGATTGTTAAATAAATGCTAACGATTACCGAATTGTAGTACAATTAAC